GCCTGGTATTCTGTGTTATTGCTGATGGCAAACTTCACTGCACCTCCACCCTAGCCACCATCTCCTCATGCTTTGAGGATAGCAAGGACTGTCCTATGAGAATTCCCTTGGGAAACCTTACCCCAGCTACCACACAGTCCTGATCTTTTTCCTTCAGTCTTATTTTTGTTCCCCCAAATGCAAAGACCATTTAAAAGGAACACAATTTGAGTCCCCTGAGAATATCAAAACTGCCAATTTGATGTGGTATGAAATTGGAGTATAGAATTCTTTGGGGCAGGGTTAGAGAGATAGAAACATCGCCTTTAGAAGTGTGTAGACCTAGATGGAAGAGATGTTGAGAAAAAATAGTTTCACACTTTGATATTTACTTTAATACAGTACTTTAATACAAAATCTACCATTTTGTAGCCATATTTATTGGTGTATCCTCATATACTCATATATGCTATCATCTAGTTGTCTTCTCTACCTGCACCTCCATGAGATTTCACATCACAAAGCATTTCAGGAGGACTAACATTTATCTTCAAAATTTTCTCTAGGATAATTCCAAATGAACTAATATGTCAAAGAAGACATTCTGATTATCATAAAATCTCATTCATTTGAATCAATTTCCATCAGAGTATCAACAAAAAATGTAGATACACCATAGTCTACTATTCAAAATTGTTGTTGTTAGGTGCCATCAAGTCGGTACCAACCTATAGCGACCTTATGCACAGCAGAAGGGCCAACCTCACTACTGTTGCCATGCTTGAGTCCATTGATGCTGCCACTTGGATAATCCATCTCATTGGGGGTCTTCCTCATTTTCTCTGACCTTCCACCTTACCAAATATGATATCCTTCTCCAACGACTGGTCCCCTCCTGACAATATGTCTGAAGTATGAGACGAAGTTTGCCATTACTCAAAATAGGCTAACGTTTATCTATTTTGTACAATTATTATTCTTAAGTGCACATAACAATTTGGTCAAAACAGGTTGAATTCTACTTTTCTATAATTTTGACATTTTACATAAAACACTTCAGGAAATGCAAATGGAGTATTTTATTTAAATACCGAAATATACAGCACCACATTAATAACAAACATGAAACTCCCTGTGAAATTCTCTCCTGCTGCATTTATCTAACTCCCTCAGTGAATAAGTCACCTGTATCCTAAATTCAACTCTCGTGTAGTGTTTTTATATTCTTACTGTAAATGTTTATCTTCATTAGTAACATAATATATTGCTTTACAGATTTAATGTTTTATGTAAATGCCATCTTGCATCTGGAATTTGCTTTTACCTTTTGCTCAACATTGTTTTCTTATAATTATACCTGTGGATACACATCGCTCTAAGTTTACCCGTTTTACCTGCTACATAGTATTTCATTGCATGGTGATGGCTTGATTCATTTCAAGGATGTAAAGATTTTGAGAGGTGGCTGGGAGGATAAGAAAAGAAAGAGCTAGAAGAATCTGGTATCAAGAGTCTTGGTGAGAAAGTGCCTCTTTAAAAGGAGGCAGAAATGTAGGCAAGAAGGAGAGAAGGGGCCGAACTGTAGGTATTTAGGGAGCTTGGAGTGGAGATGAGAGGGGCAACCTTTAAGAAGACAGTAACACACTGGGCAAGCCTCGAGACAATTAATCTGGGGTCACATAGCTATTAAGAAACATTTTGCCTGGAAAGCATTTTCTTTGACTTTTTTATTGGTTGCCCTTTACACAATTAAAAATATATGAAGTAAAAAAGATCATTATGATCTAAATACTGCCTCTGCAACCTTTCAAAATATTTATGAAACAGGAGACTCTTCAAGTTGATTCTTGTCAAAATTATCATAAAATACAAATTAGTGGAGTCTGCATATTTTCCCCCGTAGCTATGGTAGCATAGTGGTTACAAATCGGGCTGCTAATCTCATGGTCAGCAGTCCGAAACTATCAGCTGTTCCACGGGAGAAAGATGAGGCTTTCTGCTCCCGTAAAGAACCTCGGAAACCCTGTACAGGGTCACTATGAGTCGGAACCGACTCCATGGCACTTAATAACAACAACAACAGGCAGAATACATTGTGCTTTTCCATACTTGTAATTATTAATGAAAGAAAAGTACATTTGTTGTGTGCTTTTATTTATGGAAGTTTCAACTTCTATATATATATATTATATGATTCCAGACTTAAAAAGTTACCTTTGAGTTTATTTAAAACAACATTCATTAAAAAGAAAAATCTGATAAATCTATAAATTTCAAAATGAGGCAAGTGTATATTTTGAATGAGGCAAAGGATAAATAATTATCCTTCAAGATATACAAATTATTGGAGCAGCAGACATATGAAATGAGGTGCCTTCTCCAAGAATGTGGTCTTTCTGAGGATACCCATCCTCTGACAAGCTCCTCTACATCGCTGTGTAAACAAAGACAATAGTGAATGTTGACTCACTATCAACATGGAAAAAAACAGTCAATGGAACACGTGAACCAAATCCTCTGTCTTTCTGGGAAGAGGGTATAAGAAAAGCAATACAAGAAACATTCAAGTAGCAAACAACCTACGAAGTGTCAAGAGCTTTAAAAGTCTAATAAAGACACACGTGGGCCCTTCTTCATTACATTTGTATTAAAACCACTCTAGCATTCAAAAAAGGGAAAATATTTCTTTGTATTTTTTTCCAAAGTCATACAAGAGTCCTGCATGAAAAGAGCAATTACTGGCATGATTTCTGTATGCTATTCGCTGAAAATGCCGAGCAACATTGAGTTCTGGAACATCTTTATCAGGCATCATTAATTCTTCTTGGAATATTTGTATTTGATATAAAATCTGTTTATTTTCAGTTTGTCTCACTGGAAGGTATTGATTTTTCTAGAAGTCACAAAAAAAGGGCAAATTTATGTTGACATATACACTGTCATTTGATTGATGGATCAATTGATTTTTATGAGGGAGGGGATTTTAAGTGGCTCAGATGTAATTCGTTCTCTCTCACTAAATATTCTAAGTGTGGGCTCCCAACAAACTTACATCATCCTTTTCTCATTAAAGATTCTATTCCTACAAGTAGAGAAATGTAAGTAATTTCTCTTTGTCATTTATTTCCTCATCAACTCATAGTTATCAGGCAACATTAAGAGAAGTAAGAAGTACTCATATGAAAAAGGAGTTGTTGTTGTTGTTGTTAAGCGCCCTTGAGTCACTTTCAACTCATAGCAACCTTGCATAGGGTTTCCAAGGCTGTAAATCTTTATAGGAGCAGAAAGCCTCATCTTTCTCCCACACAAGAACTGGTAGTTTCAAAGTGCTGACCTTGAGGTTAGCAGACCAATTCGTAACCACTATGCTACCAGAACAAATTCTGCTAATTAGCATTTTCTTAACAATAATTTATAGAAAGATTATTAATATCATAACTCAGAAAGAAAACAATAAAAATTCATTATAAAGTCTGGAAGTAAGAATTGAATCTAAATTCTCAAGTTTTCAAATCAAGTATAGAAGAAAACTCTAGCATGTTTTGAGCCTTAAAAGAAAAAAAAAAGGAAGGAAATATGTTGTTTGTTTTATTGTCTATAACGATATTTCAAGTAGTTTTATTTCTGTTTAGTTTGTTTGTTATTTATCATTAGGATGGGAACTGTCAAGAAGTTTGGACTTTTACAAGTCTACAAAGATAGGCCCAATCATTGTTTAGAAGGAAAATTTTTAATTCTAAGGTCTTCTTCATCAATTCAAAAGCAATAGCATACAATTCTCTCTTCATAAAATCTATAGTATATAGAACAATCATGAATGTACAAGATATATAGAAAAGCTATACTTTCTGATTCAGATCAACTTATACTATCTGCAAGCCAAGTAATACCCTTATGACAAATTATTAGGCCATTAGCTTCTGGCACTCAGTGATGTTGGCTTGTTGCTAGCGACAATTTATCTAGACACATTCTAGAGTAATGCCCCAGTGTTTTTTGGGTAACGTAAAGATGAATAAAATGTCAGAGGCAAAGTGGCTAGTACTGAAATGGTCACGACTAATGAGGTTATGATCCTAGATGTAAAGCCTGAAATTTTCCAAAATTTAGACTACAGGATAAATCCTATTTTTCAACAGTTACCATCTAAGTTTCTAATCTTCCAAGTTGAAACTTGCAATAAATTATCTTAAATAGTATACTTATTATTAATAAGATTGTTCCACCCATTAACTTCTACTCAAATACTAAATACAAATACTGCTAGGATGGTCCTTAATAGAGTACTGGTTAATAACAAATCTACCCTCATTCTGAAGGCTTGTTAGAGGTAGTTAATTTCATTCTGCAATGAAATGTATGCAATTATAAAAGGAAAGACCTATGGTTTTTTATATATACATATAGGGGTTTCAAAAAGTTCATGGGAAAATTCCAGTATTTTCCAATTCAATTCTTCCATGATCTTTCTGAAGTCCCCTTGTAACACTGGATTTAAAAATAAAGGTTGAAACATACAATAAAGAAATCAAGTCAAGCTTCATCAGTCGATTTTAATCATACAAGATCATTATGAACCAGTTCAGTAAGATATGAATCTAATAGCAGAAAGTGGAGCTGACACAAAGTCTTCATCAATTTAAATGCAAGCTATATAATTTAAGTAAAAAGAATAATCATGAATTACAGAATACACAAAAAAGCAATAATTCATGATTCAGATCAATTTATGCTAACTGCAGACCAAGTAATATTTTTGCTCGATTACATAAAATAGAACTTTGCTACAAAACTTAAAATGATTCTAGAAATAAATATGAATTTTGGTTTACAACGCCCATAAGGAAAACACCCTGGAAATTGTTGTCAAATCAATAAAATATGACATTTATAAACAACATATTTTATTGTCTTAATTCAGTTGTTTATCATTACTCTTCTACTTGCTACTAAAGCCTAACAATTCAGAGAATAGTCTTACTATAAACAGTGCAAAAAGAAAATGAAACATTACTACTTACAGACTTCCTCTTCTGGGGAGACTCAGTTCCTTCTGCAAAAGAAAAAAACACACACACATATATATATAATATATCTGAATTATTATATTAACTGTACAGTACTAGGGCTCCAAATGTTGTAAGTGTCACTGAGTTGGTGCCGACTCACAGTGACTCTGTATAGGGTTTCTGAGCAGTGGCTGGTGCGTTTGAATCACGGACCTTGTGGTCCAAATCAACCTGGAGGTCCAGTGCTTATTCTACAGTTCCACACCAGGACTGCAAACACAAAATGTTGTTGTTGTTGTTGTTATGTGCCTTCGAGTCGGTTCCGACCCATAGCAACCCTGTATAGGGTTTCCGAGGGTGTAAATCTTTACTGGAGTAGAAAGCCTCATCTTTCTCCCGCGGAGCAGCTGGTAGTTTCGAACCGCTGACCTTAAGGTTCGCAGCCCGATTCGTAACCACTACGCTACCAGAGCTCCCAACACAAAATAGATAACATTAAATATACCATTCTTCATTATGTTTCATATGGCATTTCCAATACCCTGGTGGTATAGTGGATTATGTGTTGGGCTACTGTCAACAAGGTCAGTAGTTCAAATCTATCAGTTTCTCCATGGGAGAATGATGAGACTTTCTGATCCAGGAATGATTTACAGCCTCTGAACCCTTATAAAGAGTCACAATGAGTCAGAACGGACTTGATGGCACACAGCCACTAACCATAATGAAAAGATGCTCATGTCATCATTTTATGCTGGATATCTTCTTGTTTCCTTCATACAACATGTGTAAGGTAAGAACACTGTTTATGTGAATTCCAGACCAGAAAGACCAACAATCCTCCTACAAGCAACTCGAGTAAACCACTGCAGTACGGGGCTCTAGAACTGAGCATAAAGAAGATCAGAAGAATGAAAGGATGTATCCAAAGAGGAACTCGATGTAAGAAGGAAGAGAATTGTTCCAGAATTATGCGTATGATTAAGTAAAAGATGAACTGGAAAGGATAAATTAAACACACTTTTTACCCCCAATGTAGACCTCGTGGCACAGTGAGATCCATGTTGGGATACTAACTCCAAGGTCCAGAATTCAAACACATCAGTGCTCTGCAGGAGAAAGATGAGGCTGTTGTTCCTATAAAGATGTATCGTCTCAGAAACCTAATGGAACAGTTCTACTCCATTCTGTAAGATCATTATGGGTCAGAATAGGTTCCAGGGCTGTTTGTTTGACTTTTAGTATTTTTTATCCCCAACAAAGAAATTCACACAAAGCATCATTTACACCAAAGATTATACTTTTATTTTTAAACTAAATGCAAATAGATAATGGAAAAGATTTCCTTCTGGTATAATTTCTCAAAGCAAGGAGGATTTAGTATTTAGGGCATTTAAAGTTAGGCTAATGAGCCCAATAAAGGTAAGAGGACAGGTACAACAATTAGTAGAGTTGCTTTAGCAAAGTAGAAGGAATTCTAGTGGCACAATGGATAGACCTCGGACTGCTAACTACAAGGTCAGCATTTCAAACGTCCTGTTGCTCTGCAGAAGAAAAATGAGGCTGTCTGCTCCCATAAAGATTTAAAGTCTCAGAAACCCTAGAGAGATAGGGTCACTATGAGTGAGAATCAACTCAGTGGTGGTGGTTTTGTTGCTGTTGTTGTTTTAGTAAAACTTCTGAGATGGACGGAAACAGTGGCAGGTCTGGACCATGTTTCACTGTTATATATAAAGGTCACACATAGTGAGAGCTGACTCAGGAACAACTGACAATGGGAGTTTTTAAAGGGTGCCCGCAAACTTATCTCAAATTATGATTATTATCCACTTAACCTGGAGTGCTGGTGTGGCACTGCAGGATAAGCATTGGTCAGTTTGGAGTCCTCCTGTAGCACAAGGTCAATTTGAACAACAAGGTTGATGGTTCAAACTCACCAGTTGCTCCTGGAAACCCAACACAGGGTTACTATCAGTCAAAACCAACTTGATGGCACTTAACAACATCCAGTTAACCTAAGACAGTCCTAATATGGTGCTGTAGGATAAGCACTGGACCACAAGGTTGGTTTGAACCACAAAGGTGGCAGTTCAAACTCACCAGCTGCTCCTTGGAAACCCTATACAGGGTCGCTATGAGTCAGAACTGACTTGATGACACTTAACAACAACAAATAAACCTAGAGAAACAATAAAAAAACAAATCAACAAATCAGCTTGCCAGCCAAGGAAACAAGATAATCAAACAAATAAACAAAAGTGAATTCAGAAATTCCCACTGAATTTCCCCGTATGAGTGTACTCAAGAAGGGTTCTTTGATAACAAATAATTACAGAATAGGAAGCATTACGTCATTGAGCCCATTTAAACTCAAAATGAGTACACTGCAAATACAGAAAGATTTTGTTCAACTTGGTTAGAGTCATTCCCATAATTCCCATTTCATTTGCCTTCTAAGAGCTTGAGCACAATATACTTTTTTCTTCCAGTTTTTATTGTGAATTGAGTGATAGTTTACATGGGAGAACCTCAGCTTTACATTCATCCTATCATATTTTGTTTCATTGCAATGATTACAATCCCCTCCATGCATCATCAAAAAAACCAGCAAGCCTCCCCACCAGCCATCAGCACACAGCCCCTCTCCCTCCCTGAGTCCTGAGTCCTGAGTCCCCAGCGGCTCCTTCTGTCCATGTCCTTATTTCTGCTTCCATCTCTGGCATCACTGCTTCTCTGGACAGGGCCCCCAATCCACCACGCTCTTCTCCTTTGATGGTCCCAGGGTCCTCCGATCTAGGACTGCAAAATCAACCACTCCCCTCCTTTTGTTACAAAATGTCTACTTTTACATTTGTAACACTCACAATCAGTCCTGATAGCAATTATTCACTATTGAAACCAGAGGAGTTTCCCCATCTCCTTTCATCAGACCCATACAGACAGGTTGGAAACCACTCAGTGGAGATTCTACCTTCCTTTATACCCTCTAGAACTAGGCTCCCTCTTGAAAGCTTGTAAGCCAGTCAGGTCTTGTCTTTGTAACCCCCCACATTTTCATTTTGGGTTGTTGTTGATATGTGCCGTGGAGTCGGTTCCAACTCATAGCGACCCTGTACAGGGTTTCCGAGGCTGTAAATCTTTATGGGAGTAGAAAGCCTCATCTTTCTCCCATGGAACAGCTGGTAGTTTTGAACTGCTGACCTTGCAGTTTGCAGCCCGATTTGTAACCACTATGCTACCAGAGCTCCTTTCATTTTGGGTAGCCAATGTCTAAATTGCCCATCCCTGTCAACCCTGTGTACTGAGGGGGTGGGAATGATCCTCACTGTAAATATCTGTTCCCTCTTTTGAGTTACTACATCCATAAGTATAGGTCAAGTTCATCAAAGTGATTCCTCTTTTTTCCCTCTTCTTTCTTCCTTTAGTTGAGTTCTGATCATCCAGCCATTGAAACCAGGTCAAATGGATACTATCTGTAAGTATGGATGTTCTTGTGCATCTCCCCTCACTTCATATCAGCTGGACGCTTCACTCTCTGCTCTAGTCCTCTGTGGATATGTCACTGCCTCTGGGCCCAGGATTCCCCAGGTCTTGCCATACTGGTGGCCAACCAGGTCTCAACCCAGGTTGACAGGAGTCTATTGAATTTGGTCGGACTTAGCTCACAACTTCATTGCTGTTTTTCCCCCACTTCCCCTTATTGGCAGACCAATGTGGTCACCAGGAAGCCCACATGCCTGCTCACGTACTCTCCTTGAGTCTCAGTCTTGGAAGGGGGTTTTCCCTGAGGGGACTCGACCACTCTCCTTGATGGCTCCTGGGCTAACAACTTGCTTGTTCTTATAGTAGTCAATTAGACTGCCTTTATTGTTTTTGTTTTTACCTGCTTGTCTTTCTTTCAAGAAGTATCTTCTGTTCTTCTAGCTGCACCAGGCTGGTCTTCTTGCCTTTTCAAGTAGAAATTTCCCACCTCAGAGGATTCTGAATGGGGATCAGGATTCCACCTATGGTCTTATGCAATGCAAAGGCTCCACAAGAAGCCTCCTTCACTGGGCAAGTTCTAGTCTCATTTTAGATACTCCAATCAGTTACAGGCTGAAGACGGACTTTGAAGCTTTCTATAGTGATGTTTCTGGCTATTCCTTTCTCTCCCCCTTGAGTCTATCTTACAATAGTAGGCAAGGAAAACAAAGATTCAAAAGATAGCCAAGCATTTTAACATTATTTCCCTTCTTTTACCCATTCCAACCATGCCTCAATCCCGGTATCCCAGAGCTCTGTTGTTCCAAGTGAACATACATCATTATTTACCTCTGTCCCACTTAGCCCATGCAAACCTGACTAACTGTTCTCCCGTCAGCCTTGTTCTTCCATTTCCGTCCCCCTTCCTGTGTATTGTCCCTCCCCCCCTCCCCACCTGCCCAAGCTATACTGTGTTTATTCCCTATCCTGTGCTCCACCATCCCCTCCCTCACCTCACCCCACTCCATATACCCAGGTAACAAGCAATTTTTTTTTCTCCCCATTTTAGTGTGGGTACTTTTTCTTAAGCTTTTACAATAATGGTTCTATGCAGTATTTCTCCTTTTGTGACTGACTAATTTCACTCAGCGTAATGTCATCAAGGTGCATTCATGCTATGTGGTAGCTTACAGCTTCCTTGTTATTCTTCAAGATTGCATAATACTCCATTGTGTGTATGTACCACAGTTTGTTTATCCATTCTTCCATTGTTGAGCAC